TCACACTTTATACTGTTTTGTTTCAGCATACATTTTTTTTGTAAAGTGAAATGAATGTGGTGTTCACATCTTCATATAAACACACTGACACAGGCACTGAGGGTTTGAATATTGAGTTTATTGAGGAATGAAACAGTTTTCAATAGTTCCTCTATTCAGTATGGCAGATCATTGTGTGTCTGTTATTATATCAGACTATTTTCTGCATGCGGTTAGAAGTGTTCAGAAGGGGACCAGAGGGTCATGCTTGAGTTTAGGGTACTTGACTCCATGCACAGATGGAAAATTCTGTTCAGTCACTTCATTGCCGTAAAATGCTCGACATATCCAAACATGAAGGCACTTATCTACTCCGACCTTCACCTGAGAGAGAGAGAGAGAGAGAGAGATTTTCACATTTGCTTTTTAAGTGATGTCTTCCATGTAAAAGCCTGTTCACATTGATAGAGACCTAGATGCATTCATTTTTCCATGACATAGCAAGCAAACTTCAAATTTACAAATTTGAGTTCTGCTACAGTGTCCATTGCAGACTAGATTTGAGTGTCCAGTAGTCCCAGGCTAAACAGCCTAATCGTTGGCCGTCAGTCTGAAGGTCTGGCTATGCGAGACTAAGTGTCCAGCAACACTAAAAAGTTGAGAAGTTTTCTCTTATACAAATGCAGAGCTAGGGTGGTGATGGCACAGTGGATAAGACACATGCCTTTGGTGTGAGATACCCGGGTTCGAATCCACTGTGAGGCACCAATGTGTCCCTGAGCAAGACACTTAACCCCTAGTTGCTCCAGAGGCGTGCGACCTCTGACATATATAGCAATTGTAAATCGCATCAGCTAAATGTAAATTCAGAGAATTGTTTTTACAGTCACTTGATTCATTGAACCTTTTCAGAGAGGACTGAAATATGACTAGACACATCACATTTGTTTAGGACACACTGCTACAGTTGGCTTGTGGATATTACAAACATACAAATTGTGCCAGAAGTATTTCAGTGATGAAAACATCAAGCTCAAAATCCATCAAAAAAATGCTCTTTTACCTTGACCAGATAGTGAGTTCCCCCACACAGCACCTTAACCCTATAGGTTTTAGGAATGCAAACATCAAAATGGACTCCAGCCTTCTTCCCTGCCTGAATAAACACACACACACACACACTTTATATTCATCTAAATTAGGCTATTATTATATTATTATTATTTTTTTTTTAGATTTTGTTTATTGGTCTCTAGTGAGGTACAGATCTATCAGTCAGATATCATGAAACTCAAGTCAAATGTTTTGTGACTTTAAGTGAAAAGTAAAACAGTTCTTTGAGAAAATAACACATTTTACAGCATCAAAATAAAGTAGATACTAGGCTGTGTACTAGGCAAAAAACACATTTACTATATAAGTGATTTTCTTTCTCTTACTTCAATGCAGATGTTCTCCACTTCGTCAGTGACAGGCTCCTCTTTGCTCCATTCTCCAAATTTGTCCTTCGCATCAGTCATTGTGCTGGTGATCAAAGCTGGATAATAAACTGTTATCAGGCAGTGTGTCTCACAGATTGATTCTGATCCACTATTTATGCTGCCAAAATCTCATGACATCATCGTCGTCATTGTAATTTCATGTAAACACATAAAAGAGACTGAATGAATAGGTGGAGTTTTACTTTGGGCTGTTGTGTAATATTCAGAAAAACTGTTTTCTTCTGTGAAATAGAAAAGAAGATAATCTGAAGAACACTGGGAACCAGTTGAACCGATATTGGTGTCTCGAGTCACACAACTTTGAAACAACATGAGTGTGACTGAATTGTTATTTATGAATGAACTATCCCTTTAAAAATGACCCACAAAATTATTATTTTTTCTTTATTTAAACACAAAATATAGAGCAATGTTTAACAGTTTAGAGAATCTGAGATGACATGTTTTCTATTTGAATATTTTGTAAAATGTAAATTATTCCTAAAGCTGAAAGTTCAGCATCATTACTGCAGTCTTCAAAGAATTATCAAAATTCAAAATTCTCAAAAAATAAAGCAAACATAAAAGAATCAGTATCCTCTACAGATCATACATTTGTAGAGTAAGAAATAAAAACATTAAAAAGTGCTTTTTGTGTACAGATACAGTGTGTGTGCTGATCATCTGATCATGAATTTTCGCTTAAATCATTATCAAAATCTGGTTTGCATGATCTCTGTGTCAACGGGAGCTTCACTCTTCTAAATAAAGTTAATTGTCATCGATGGTTCATGAAGAAACTTTAACATCCATGAACCTTTCTTAACAAAAAGTTATTTATAGAGGAAAATGTTCTTTAGATTGTTTTAAATGTTCTTCACTCTAAAAGAAGGTTCTTTTAAAAGCTGTTGACTGAACAGAAATAGTTCTTCTTTCAGCTAATGTAAAAAACAGAAATCGTGCTGATTTGCTGATCGAGAAGCATTTATTATTATTGTCAATGTTGAATAGTGCGTAATTTTTTCCCCCCAGGATTCTTTGAAAGATTCTTCACCGTCATAATAATGTGCGGGAAAATCACTCTTGAACCTTATAGCTCGATTTAATTTCATTGTCATCACTTCGTTTTGTAGAAATAGTTTACACACACATGACTATGTTGTTGTTCCCGTAGAATAAATAATCAATAATGTAAAAATGAAACAAACTGCACAGAATTATCAGTGTGAATCACTGACGGTGACGAACGCAGCATTCAGAGAAATAAAATATAATATCATAGCCTAGGCTATATATCAAAAATACGCGTTTCAAATTATGTACACAACAGATATGATTATTTTGCAGTTTTATTTCCAGACCATTATTAGTGTATTCTGGCACGTTTGATTGTGTGTGCAGGGCTCTTATGTGTGCTCACACGCGCAGTCCAGTAACCTGCGATGACAACTGTGTGTTACTGCGTTCTGCACACATGTGATAGTTGAGTTTTGACATAATCTGACAGCATATGTATTTTGTGTGGACTGAGCTTTAGTGAAGTTTCCTCAGAAACAGTTAAATCCATCATTCGTGACATGTACATGTTAACCGGCAAAAACTCAAAAGAAAAATTTGAAGATCCCGAGAGACTGAAGACAGCGCATGACGTCTCATATACTTTGTCTCTATACGCGTCATTCCTAAAAAAAATAAAAATAAAAAAATAAAAATAATAATAATAATAATACAATACTAATTATTATTATTATACAATAATAATATTACAATACTCATGACCGTGTCTTTACTGTTTGAGTAACAGGAACTCTATTCACCAAAAGGTGTAGCTAAATCAATCTAAATTGACACTCGTTGTTGTTTCCATGAAACACATAAAAGTGTAACTTTCTGAAAACCAAGGATGTATTGAACAGATGAACTATATAGAATTAGAATATAGTATTATATAATATATAGAAGATAAAATAGAATAGGCCTAGGCCTATATAATTTGAGTGTGGTGACATAAACACGGCCGTCGCTTAAGTTGGGTTAAGAATCTTTACTAAAAAATACTGAAATCAAGATTAGACACTGTAAAATCTTTTCCACAATTCCTTTTTTTTTTTTGGAATAGAAAATTTCCATCGATGTCCACAAAGAACCTTTATTTTCAATTGAGTTGCTGCTGACAGAGAAATCATCAGATTTGTATTTAAACGACAATAATCAGATGATCAGTACACTGTCTACATAAAAAAGCTTACTTTTTATTTATTAATTCTGGGAATAGGGATAGGCTATACTTAATGCTTTTGTGGCTTTGTTTTAAAGGGATAGTCATTTAAAAAACGTACAATTATGTCACCCTTATGTTGTTTCAAAGTTGTGTGATTTATTCTTCTGTGGAACATATTTTGAAAAATGTGTTCAGTTATGTTTTTGTCCATACGACGGAAGTCAATCAGCACTAATATTGGTTCAACTGGTTCTTAATGTTCTTCAGAACATCTTCTTTTGTGTTCCACAGAAGAAGTCGTTTGAGGGAGTGAACGGAGTTTATTTCATTCTTTTTTTTGGGGGTGAACTAAACCGTTAATCTGTCAGTACTTGAAGTGTGATTGCCAAACAAGTGTTATTTATTCTATCCCTTCATTCAAAAGTTCTTAAAGATTTTTTTTTTCTCAGAGTGAAGAACATTTTAAAATTCTAAAGAACATGTTTACACTATAAACTGTTTTCCTAGCTATTCCTTCTTTTGGATTAGAAAGTTTCCATCAATGTCAATAAAGAAGCTTTATTTTTAAGAGTGACTGTTGACAGACAGATAATGCAAATCAAATTATTAATTGTGTATAATGAACAACAAAAACAACATCTTTACAGTATAAATATAATAAAGTTATTGTCCAGGTAAAGTTAGTTTTGACTTCCTTTGCAAAGATCATTAATTATTAGGGGCCGCTTACACGATACCCTTCTAACAGAAAACAGAAAACTTTTAATTTGTTCTTCTGGCCGTTCATTTGCACAACAACAGTGTTTGGCGACTCGGGAACACAATCTTTGAAATAGGTTCCAAGGTTTGAAAAATGTTGAAAAATGTCATCTGTGTGTAAACTTCACAAACATTAATCTGTGAAAACGGTGACAGCACATGCATATTATATGTTTAGTATAGGTATGCATGTTTAAACATGTATGTGCGCAGACTCATTCTTTATTGATGTTAATTATATAAATACTTTTGTTGTTTCTGCATATCCATTTGAGCTGGAATCATTTTGATAACATTTTATCTGTACAGAGGTAAAGGGAAGGGGCCGAGACTAGTTGACACTTCATGATTGTGTTGTCGTCGTGTCCAGGCACAGGTCTTTTATAAAGGGACCGTAAAATTTCGTCCTGTATTCCACCATCAGAAATGTGGTCATTCTTATATTCCACCCTCTTCAACAGTTTTTCACAGGAACTGAATATTACACAACACCTCAAAGAGAAACTCTGCCTTTTCATTCAGTGTCTTTTATGAGATTACATGGAATTGCAATGATGATGATGATGATGATGATGTCATGAGATTTTGGCAGCATAAATAGTGGATCAGAATCAATCTGTGAGACACACTGCCTGATAATACAGTTTATTATCTAGCTTTGATCACCATCACAATAACTGAAGAAATGTCAATGCCTGGAGGATTTACCACAGTGAGACTTGTCACTGAAGAAGTGAAGAAGATCTGCCTTAAGGTAGGAGACTTAAAGTCACTGTAAATGTTTTTGTAAACACATGCAGCCTAGTAAAATTATCTATTCTGTGAAATTTGTTGGGGAAAAACTGAGAACTGATATCTGAAAGATAGATGTAACAAAGACTTATAAACTCTTTTTATAAAAAATAATAATATAGATAAGTATAAAATCTAAATATCTGCATTTGTTTATTCAGGTGAAGCCAGAGATCGAGAAGATGATTCCAGTCAATTGCAAAGATTACATTCCCGTATTCTATAAGACTCAGGTTGTGGCTGGAACAAACTATCTGGTCAAGGTAAACGAGTGTTTTGTATTGATTTAGTCCCACTTAGTCCCAATCTCAAAGGACTGTCTGGACCTACTGAACCTGAGGCGGCTAGAAGGGTTAAGTTTCCAGGATGTTCAGAGTTTTGTATAATTGTCTTGTATAAATAAAGCACATTTAAAAGAACACAGTGAAAGTGTGGAGAGAGAGAAATTGGGAATAGATAATGAAAATAAACCGATTTGGAGAGTTTTATACAAACCACCGATTGAAAAGCGGTCAGGTGATATTCAATGAAGGGTTTTACACGGCGCAGTTGCTGTAAATGCTTTTGTGAGCTTAATTAATCCCAATATATCAAGTGATTGTGCTTTTTGTAAAATGAGGAAGACAATTTTTCATTGTTTTTTTAGAATGTTCAAGACTGTATGAAATGTTTTGTTTGCTTGATGTGCTTTTCATGAATTTTGGGGAGATTTTTTTCTTCTAAGATTTGGATTCTTGGACGCAAAATAGTGTGGCGCAAAGAATAAAAAGTTAATTGTTGAATTTTTGGGAAAGCCAAACTTGCCGTTTCCATAACCAGACAAAATAGAAGGTTGAGAAGGACAACATGTGGTTCTTGTGTTTAAAAATATGGTAAAAGCAAAGCAAGTGTTATGTTTGATTTCTCTCTCTCCCCCTCTCTCATTCGCTCTCTTTCTCTCAGGTGGACGTCTGTCAAGAGGATAAAGAAGAAGATAAGTGTGTTCATGCGATGATATTTCAGGCTCTCCCCTGTGATGGAGGGGATCTGTCTGTGACTGGAGTCCAGTTCCCTAAACTCCTCACTGATCCTCTGGTCCCCTTCTGAACACTTCTTCTAACCGCATGCAGAAAATAGTCTGATATAATAACAGACACACAATGATCTGCCATAGAGGAACTATTGAAAACTGTTTCATTCCTCAATAAACTCAATATTCAAACCCTCAGTGCCTGTGTCAGTGTGTTTATATGAACAACACCAAGTTCACTTCACTGAAATAATAATCACAAAAACAGTTTGTTTTAAAAATCCTCATTCAAAAAAAGCTTTAAAAACAAAAAGTAAAATAAAATAATGTAAAATGACATTCATTTTTAAATTAAGATTTAATTCACTGTCATCAAAAATCTTTTTTTTTACTGTAAATCGTGAATTCATATTATTTTTTTCTTCATTTTAAGGCTGCACTGATTGTCTGAAGGACTGTAATTTTAAACATTTCTCAGACTGTATTATTATTGTATTATATGAACCCGAAATCTTGTTCATCTCAACCTCACTTCATTACAAACCTGTACAGTTTCTCTTCTTCACTCACTGTATACAGGATCATTTTGTATACTCTGTCTGCCCTACGAAGTGCAAATGTGTGGCCAGGTAACCTATAACCATAAAAATATGACGCTATTAAATTGAATTGAACAATAATTGAGGCTGGTTCGGGTGTTTATTGGCAGCCCATTCTCACCCCCAAGGCGTCACTTAACTGACGCCTTGGGAAGCATTTGGACATGCTTCAATGTTATTGGGGTTGAAGCTAAACTTTACAGTGGCTCTCAGGAGCAGGATTGGACACCTTGATACATATGTCATATCTGTTCGGGAGAATTATGCTAGGACTGTATTGCAGGAGGCGTGCCGGCCGTGACAGTATGAGTTCAACCATTTGATTTCCCTCTACCAAACGAACTGATTTACTCCATGGTAGGTGAGTTTATAAATCCGGTCACCTCTAGGCAATAGCGTCCTCAAGCAGCTCCTGTTGTTACTACACTCAATTCCAAATACATAACACTAAGGCATCAACAACAGTAAATTGGCTAAAATGCAATAATACCGCAAGTAACGTCTATTTCCGTTACAGAGTTTCCTTTCCTCCCTTTAAGTTCTTAATAGACTTTGTGTGTCAGCAAGCTAAAATGCGCTATGATCCAAGTTTCTTTCTCACAGCTGTACAGGAAGAAACTCACAAACCAAACAGACAGTTAAACAAATCTGTTTTTCCCAGAGCTGTCATCACACACAAGACACACGTCTCCGAGGAGAATTCATCAGCTGTCAATCTCAGGCTGCTTCTTGATCATGGAGCCGTTTTCAAAATGACTGCCAAAGCTGGAGCCGTCCACAAACGCTCCAATGAGGGAATAACCTGCTTTATGTGGAGTGAACTCGCACCAGGGGTCTGTAGAAACACACCCATATAACAGCTGACATTAACTCTCTGTCTTTCTTTTAGACAAAGACACAAACCTCCTTCCTTCATCTGTTTGCATTGCTTGTCGATCACTGTGTAGATGGGAAACGGGTCTTTACTCTCCTGGTTCCAATACTTTGTGAATGGTTGTTCATCAATCTAGAGAACGTTATTGTAGTGGAGAGACATATACAACTAGAACATTATTAAGAAACGAATAAAGGCTTTCACTGTAAAATGGAAGAAAAAAAAAAAACATTTGGGGTTTCTCAGATCGCCACTCTGGTGGAACCCTCTGAAGAGGAACATCTCTGAGGAACTTATAAAATGTCTATATGTTTCTCCAAAAACTCTGAAGACTGTCAGCAGTTCCTCCAGTGACCTCATCATTAAGAAAAGGCTTTGAGACGCTTGAAGTATACTGGGGTTTCTTGATGTCGTTACAGTTCTGACAGAACCACAATGGTAAATGGACTTTACAAAGAGACAATGTTTTTGAGTAAATTTCACCACAGTTTCATTCTCTGGTATTCTGGTTCTTTTACAGTTCACTTATTTTTTTAGCGACCTATAAGTGCGCAAACTAAAATGTATAATCTTTTATCACAAAATTATATCATAGATCCCATTTGTAACTGCCATATGTGACCTGTTCTTTTCTTTAATGTGTGATGCTTGTTTGTTTGTTTTTGACTATGTGACTAGTTCGAATCCTTGATTCTGATTGGTCAAGAGCAGTGCTTTCACGATAAAACAAGGCTATGATATGACCATAGACATATACACTAGACCACACCTTGGCTACGGCAGTTCATTGGAACGAATGCGTCAATAGAGCCGCCATCTTGAAACAGGGGAGCCCCTCCACTTTAATGCATCAGCGTCAATGTAACTAGTAGACACAGGTCTAACGGAAATAAAATCACCATAAATCATCATGAATGTGATTTTTCTTGTTTTTTTGGTTTGTTCCAACGGTCAGACATGTATTTATCATTGATTCCAGAAAGAATTTTATTTTTTTTTAAAAAACATTCTTCCTAGTTCAGATTTCATCCGTGAACATCATACGCTGCACCGCCACCATCAATGAATTCGAAGTAAAGGCAGAGATGTCAGCGTTCTAGCTACTTCCTATGACAAGACCCCTGTTCCAAGATGGCGGCGGTTTTGACGCATGCTTAGAACCCCGAGGTGAGGTCTTGTGTATATGTCTATGTGATATGAACGCTTCACCCAATTATTTTGCAGCAAAGCTCACAAAGGAGCTATTTCCTAATTGTAGCCTAATTGCTCATTCACACTGCGTGATTGTCACTCGCGTGAACGAACGCCGATTTGCCTGTGATTTCGGGCATTTGTCGGCGATTTCTCAAAACCTGTCGGCGAGCCAATATCGTGGCTAAAATCATGCAGTCTGAACTCGGCTTAAGCAGCATTAAGCCAGAATCTTCACATCTTCGGATTCTCTAAACCTGAAAGAAACAAACTGATGGAAGACAGAGATAGGAGAAAGAATGAGCTTATAGTCAATTGTTGGCCTCCAAGAGAAGACAGAGCTTGGTTATTGGTCTATCCAGTCCGTTTGGACCTTCACAGAGTGAACCAGTCCTCTGGAGTCAGTTGTGGTGCTTGAACTCTGCCCATCATCCATGAGCCTCTGGAGCTGTGGAGTCAGTGATTATGACAATATCTCCTGGAATAAAGTTTATTTTTTTTGCTTTGTCCATTTTTGCCTTTGTGGCGATCACAAAAGTGTTGTAATTATCTTTTTTGAATATCTTATGGTTTTTGTATTGTTTTTTGTTTTCTTGTTTGTTTTTTTAAAAAGTAACATTCAGAAGAATTTTATTTTAATGTGATTCCTTTTAAATAAAGAGAAGTGTGCAATGTGTGCAGGTATATTATGCCAAAAAAATCCTAGATTTCACAGGGTCAATGAACAGCACTTGTCACAACACTTGATGTCAGAAACAAATAAATCACCCCAGCCGTGAACAGTTTTTGGTGAAATTTTGCAAGCTAAGCATATTTTTTTTTTACATATTACACTGTAAGTCTTAACTTTACTAAATGATGTTACTTGGTGCTATGATAAAACTTGTATATATTTTAATAATTTTTCAAAAATATGCTCAACCAAACGGTTGATTTGGCTCATTAGGGTTAATTGTCACCCCCCTTTTTGAGAATGGACTTTACAATGCACTATTAAAACTTGGTTGTAATTCAAGCATGCTTTGGAATAAAGACTTACATTTAGTCTTATTGTAAAGAAAACACTCAGCAGATTATTGCTGAAGTAAAAACACTTCAAAAAATAAAAGTATGAAAAAGTTATGGAAGTTTTAAATTTACATTAAATCAAATATACTGTACTAAATGTTTTTTCTTTTATATAAAATATATATTTTACAAAATATTTTTTCCTATAAAATAAATATAAAATCAAATCCATGTATTTAACCAAGTTGTGTTCTTAATTTGAAGTTGATATCACAAAAATTGAAGTTCTCATGAGCAAAATATGTGTATGAATTCCGGTACCATTTATTACCTTTCAGTGACATCTCAACCGTTTGGTAGAGGCCGATATTTAAAACATTATGGGATGTGTTGAAAAAAAAAAAATACATTGAGTGTGGTTACTAGCGACATAAGCTGTGCAAAAATAAAATAAAAAAAAAAAATAAAAAAAAATATAAAAATTCCATCACTTTTTTCTCGGTGCGGAGGCCTACCTCAAAGGGTTAAGCTGTGCCGGTAATCAGTTTTTAATTACTCCAGAGAGTTTGAACTTCGCTTCTCTCCTGTGTGTTAAAGGTGGGTAAATGTATAAAAACACTTTAAAGTTGAATTGAACCATTATGAAATGTGTATTGAGTGTAAGTGAATTGTTTTAGAGGAGTGATTTTCGTCAGAGGTTGTTTTTGAGTTTGATAAGCGAGAGAAAAGCTCGACTGATTAGCGGCCTACTAAACGCACATGTAACGTTTGTGAGCATGTCAGTAAAAATATATATTTCTACTCATTCAAATGCACATGAAGGTATTTTATAAGCTTCAAGGTATTGTTTAACATAGCCTACTAAATATGTGTTTGTAATGTCGATTGATAATGGTTAAAGTGTTAAATGAGGTTTAAAATTATATTTGAAGTATTTTAACAATTCTGAAAGTGATTTGAAGCATCGTATTAATGTGATACTGGTAAAATATTGTGAATGTAAATGGTTAATCGTTTAAGAGAAGTAATTGAGGTGTATTATTGTGGTTTTTGTATTTCATTTTTGATGAGTAGTGTGAAATATAAACATACAGAGTCAGTAAACATGACTGTGAAATTGAGAAGTTTATTTTATTTCAGATTGTGAATTGACATGAACATTGAAAGTCATTATAATGTTGAGAAGACATTAAAAATGTGATCTGTTGAGCAAAATGTGACTCTAAAAAATAGATTTGTTTAATGAACATATGAAGAGTTCAGATGCAAAAGCCTCTATTTCAAAAGTGCCATTTGAAATTTTCTTTTAGAATGATCAAGCTTTTTATCAAGCTTGTATATTTAAGTTCAGTGATTTCACTTAAATGGCAATGATAATTACCTATTAATTGTTATTTAAGTGAAATTACTTAACTTGGCTTAAGTTCAGGAAGTAGTGAAGATGTGCATAAGGTCAATTACTCCAGAGAGCTTGAACTTCACACTTCCTCGTTTCTCTCCTGTGAATACTCTGCTGTCCACCTTTT